AGGCGATACGGCAAAGTCCCGGAAAACCGCCAGTTGAACCGGAAATCTCAGAAACGGACAAAACCCGGGTTTTGTGAAAAACTGACATTTCAAGACAAATAAATTACAGTTCTGTAAGAAAATGCAGATCTGATTAACGAGAGGAAGAAGAAAAACAAGAGAACTCAGTCCTCAATATTGCCGATGGAATAGACGTAAGGCTGCGTGTTGAAATCTTGGGATGAGATCTACAATGGTGGTTTAGAGGGAGGTGTGATAATTGAGGAAGAAAGAAGACTGCGATGAAATAGAGAGAAAAATAAATTTGCGGTGGCTGGGGTGCTTCGAAGTATGTGAAGTGTTTGTTTTAAGATAGAGGAATTACTGCTTTAAAAATAAAAAATAAAATGTAAGTATAAAGAAACAATATTTAAATATATTAATAAATTTAGTTAATTAAATTATTTATGTTCTGTGTAGATGTTCAATATATTAATTTAAAATTATTGAATTGAATTTTAACAACGAATAAATTTACTAAATTATATTTTTAAAAGATAACCATATATAATTATTCACAAATAATTCAAAATGAAAAATATTAAAAAACCCGGTTGAACCTCGGTTGAACCGGTCCAACCGTGACCCAGTTGGCTAACCGGTTTAATGTCCGGTCCGGTTTTCAAAACATTGATTTATAGTTGGTGGGTGATTGTAATTACCCAAATACGAGAGGTTTTATGGTAATTTAACCTTAATTTACCATTCTTTTATTGAAGTGCGTTTTATACCCTGAAAATAACATAGACTAGCGTACACCCTCGAATTTTGAAATTGGCAAATTGCACCATCAAATTGCATCTCTCTTAGAAAAATGCACCATACACTAGTGTCTTGTGATATTTTAACCAAAAGATCAATATCAATATTCTTGCATTTCAATATATTCTTTCTTGGTGGTATTTTTCTTTTGTAATTTATATTTTTAAATTAATATTTAACTATATTATTAATGAAACACAAAGGAATAAATAATTTTATTTTTGTGACTTTTTCGTATCAAAATCAAAATTATATATGACCTTCAAACAATTTTTTTTGATACAATGATATTTTTTTTAAACAATCAAAATATTATAATTTATGCTCCAAAGAGCATGCACATTATTAACATTAGTATTTATATTACATACTTTATGTGATTTATTCAAATTTTTAAATCTCTATAATTGATTAATTGTTTATTTATTGTTTGTACAAATAAGCTTGTGTTTGTCCTAAATTAAAGTCTCGTAACTTTTGTTAAAAACACTGAAGATTTTAAATGTTAAAATTCGCGATATATTCATCTTTTGGTTAAAATCTCACAAGAAACAATTTTAGGATGCATTTTGCCATGAGATATGCAATTTAAAGGTGCAACTTGCCAATTTCAAAATTTAAGGGTGCAAAACGCCAAACCATGCCATTTTTGCGGTGCAAAATGCAATTCACCCCATTTTTTTGACAGCTAAAAGCTGCTTACTTTTATTATGAGTTGTGTGCTTTTTTTGGGCCAAGGCCCATCATCTGTAATTATAATCTACATTTAGTGGCTATTAAATATTAATAAATTCTAAAAGGATAAATTACTACTAGTACAAAAATAACTTTTTACTACGACTATAAATCGTATCCAAAATTTATCAAATTTATAGTAAAAAAGCTTTTGCTATATATTTACTAATGAACTTGTCCCGTAGTATATACGGTTGTAACAAAAACTTTGTACGGTAAATAGTCGTAGCAAATATATTTTTTGCTACGGTAAATCCTAACATTTACCACGATTTCAAGACTGTCCCATAGTAATAGTATATTTTGCTACAACTTTTTACCGTAGCAAAAAAAATCGTAATAAAAAATCATTTTCTTCTAGAGTACGACCACCCCTTAAGGCAATGTTAAATTTCAAAAAAATCCCTCCTATTTGGGTAATTCCAACCACCCCTCAACTATGAATCTTCTTACACGTTTACTCTTATGGTGTCAAATTTAACAAAATCTTCTATATTCCACGTAATGTTCTCTAGTTTGTACTCGTTTTGTGCAAAAATACAGTTTCTGGTGCACCACAATCTCATATTACAAGACAAGCGACACATATTATGATCATCTTGTTTCAAAATATGGAGCTCAAATGGGGTAAGACAGGTAAAACCTGTAGAATATTCTATATAATCGAGAAGACTACACTAAATTTGACACCATAAGAATAGGCATGTAAAAAGATTCATAATTGATGGAAATAATTGCAATTACATAAACATGTTGGAGATTTTCTGACGCAGGACGGAAGCACGGTAAAGAATTAATTTCTACGAATTAATCCTATAGAACAAAATAACATTCGGAATCCACCGAAAACTCTGGAATCCACCAGAAAAATAGAGAAAACTCTAAAGATTTTATTAAAATTCGAAATTCTTTTTAAAATAAAGTCCTAAGGCAACTATTTATACTAAAAAACTGAAAACCGTAATTAAAATAAGAAAATACTAAAAATTACCAAAAACGGCAAAAACGAGTTAGAGTCTGATTCTAGTAGATCTCGTAATTTTGGGAACAATCCAATTTACGGAATCCTAATCCGATTTTTCTGTGATTTGATATTAATTTTCTAAAACTTGCCTAAAATAGCAAAAACAAACTTTTAGGAGTTTAAACGACGTTGGATTGCTGAAATTGGATGTGATTCATGAGCTTTGCTCATGAGTTTTGTTCCTTGCGCCGTTTCACTTGAGATAGAGTTCGTTTCGTACTCAAATACAATTTGAGTTCGTCGAAAACCCTTATTTTTCCATAATTTCTTTTCGATATTTCCACCAATGTCCATTAATAACTCTTCTCCGAATTAAATAGTTATTTTGCAACACGAATCCAATTTGACGTTCCTTATCATTTTCATAATTTAACTTTAGCCAAGAGATTGTTATAATTTACCTGTCTTTGAGACGCTACGCCTGGTGAAATACATCATGTAATTATTAACCGTTGATGTAGTGAAATAACTTCCAACTCATACACATGAGTCTGTATGTAATTATGTGCAGACGAACAATTAATAATCACCCAATAATTTACCCATTCTTAAATGATAAATGTCATATGAATTTTAGTTAGTAAAAGTGGATTTCACAAGATATTACGAAAAGTAGGGCTTAATTCCACTTTGCACCCTTGAAATATACCATTTTGGCACTTTGCACCCTCGAAACAAATTAATAGCACTTTGCACCCTCAAAACACAATAAATCATTCACAATGCACCCTGAATTGAATAATAAAGGCAATTTCATTTTTCATTGGTATTTTTTTTCGGGGTGCAAAATAAAAAAATAAATTGTTATTTTCTTGAACCTCCAACCTAATTTCGAGCGGACAAAGTGCGAAAAAATAAAAATTACACCGGATTATTTAAAACACCTACATTTTCTTACAAAATAAAAAATAAAAAATAAGTTTTTATCACTAAATTATTCGATTGATGGAGCTTTTA